CAGGCTCGAGTAGCTCTGGCCGAGTCTAATCATGGCTTGGAAGCTGAGGTTGCTCGGCTGAAAGACAATCTCCAAATGATGGAGGCTCAGGCTCGGGCCACCGAAGACTGGGTTTTGGCTCTTGAGCATGCTGAAAGGGTGAAGGGTTTGGAGCTGACCGAGGCCTTGACGAGGGAGCGACGTAACAAAGAGAAGGATGAGGCTAAAATGAAGTCGTTCGTGGCTGAGGGTGAAAGCAAAATCATTGCTAAGCACGAGGCAGGTTTCAACATGCAGTTAGGCAGGCGGTGAAATTTGGTCAAGTTACTTCAATCTTCCACTTCGATTGAGGCCGAGGCCCATACTCCTTGTCAAGGTCTCCCTGTGGCTACCGAGGAGGCCACAACCCAGTACGATGAAGATGATGATCGAGTCGAAGATGCTGCGGTGAATCAGGACCGGAAAGGTTATTAGTTAAAAAATGATTTATGCCGAGGGGGGTTTACACAATTTTTATTTTATTTTTTTTGTATTCTCCTACCATTAGTGCTCGTTTTTGTAATTCTTCGGCGATTTTAGTGCCTCTTAATGAAATAGAAAACTTTTATTTATTTTCATTTTAACTGGTGTATCATTCGGTTAAGTAATGTAATAATTGGTGTTCTCACATTTACTTTCAGACTCCAAATAGAAAACGGTAGGGCTCGATTTGATCACACTGACTCAAGTCATTGACTTCACGTTAGCTGTACATAATAGTTCAATTACTTGTATGTCGTTGTCTTGGTTTTAATCTACGGTATAAATAAACATTTTTTTTACAGTTTAGAATCGAGGTGTACGAGTTTTTATATGTGAAAAAATCGTATTCTATATATAATATAAAACCGTCGGAAAATTTATTTGGGCTGTTTTACCCCGCAAGACCTCGTATTTTTAACCACCAAAATTTACAATTTTTTTTTGTCGTGCGATTTGACATTGTGGATTGTAGGGAAGAAGGAGTCAATAACTTGAGAGAACGAAAGTAAATAAATTAATAAAGATAGTAAGGTAAAAGAAAATGAAGAAAAAAAAAAAAAGGGTCACCAAAATTAAACTAATAGAAAATTTGAAATTAATGGGTCAGGTAGGCAAGAAAGAAACAGAGTCACTTTATTAGCATTATTGCTCATCCATGAGAAGAAATATTTTACTTCCGTGTATATAAGTAAATATTAAATCTTTAATAACTAGCCAATTTTGTATTATTCTTTACAACAGTTAATTAACTTGCGGTCCCACTGACTAGTTCTCTCATGATTACTAAGATGTATTGTGATACAGAAATTATTTAACGATGAAATAAGGGTTGGGAGCTGAAGGGGAAGATAATCTAGCCTACATATGCAACAGTACTAATAAAATTTAAAGAGGAAAAATATTATTAGACATCCTTTTGGGTGTAAATGTCCCATTAAAAACAGTTATTTTAATTAATATATCTCATAAACATTTGCATATAATATATTTTTATTAAAAATTGTAATATCTGTAACATTAAAAATTAAATTTTACTAAATATTTAATATTTATTAAAAAAAAAAGATATATATAATATGATAGATAACGTAATCATAAAAAAGAGAGATAAAAAGTGCAATAAAATATGAAAGACAATATCAAGTTTGATTTAAAATAGCTCATTTTACCCCGATGACAAATTTGAATGGTTATCCGGCAAACTAAACAACCTTTGCACTCGCACAGTTAACGTAAATTTACATCATTTTGTATGATTAGATTAAATCCTCTTCTAGATCATCTAAGACATTAATTGTCTTTTTTCTTTCTTAAAACTATAAATATGTCATTTTTTTAGTCCTAGTCCCACCATAATACATGATTGAGCCGGCAATGTATGAATCAAACAGTTTATACAGAATCTGAGCAAATTTTAAGTTTTCCTTTTCTTTTGGTCAAGAAATTTAACTTTATTTCAAACCTATATACTCCACGTACCAATTTGATATGTTCTAATTGAATGGAATGTAAGAAGGGACAACCGGGCTGAGAAAAGAAAGATAAAGTGATCAAATCCTTCTTTGTAAGATTTGAGAATGAGAAGAGATACGGGGAAGGAAGAATCTGTGACACCATTTAGTAAACATTTTGAATTTGAAAAAAAATGAAGATAACTTAAGTGCATGGGTTTGGATTTGTTGAGAGATTATACCAGTGGTAGGTTGAAGAGTTTGACGTAGAGAGCTTTACAATAAGTAGAACATCATGCAACCTCAAAATCTTAAGGCAATGGATATTTAAATCTATCTCCTTATAGATTTCTAACTTGTTCATATCTCATTTTATGTGAAATTAATTTACACTTGATTTCAACAGGATTAACATTTAGATTATAATAACTTTTTAAATTGAGATAAATATTTGATTCTTAACTTATAAAATACAATAAAAGAACATTTATAAGGTTATAAGTATCTGTTTACAAATTAGAAAAAAGATCTTCCAAAAGAATTGAGATTTATAGATTAGTTTTAATGTGTGCAAAATGTTTATTTTATTCTATTTTTTTGATAAATATTTGTCAAAAAATTTATCAAACTATCTTTGACTCATTGTTTTTTTTTTATGTAATCTCAAAGTTATAAAATAACTGTGAGTGGGTATAATATGCGATAAAAATTTTTTAAAATAAGCAATAAATATTACTTGTTAAAAGATAAGTACAATTTACTTAATTATTACTAAAAACGATTATCTCTCTTGTGATCTAATTAAAGTGCTCTTATGGCCATCATGGAGCGTCATTATTTAAAAATGAATTAGAGAAACAATGATGTGATAAATTTTCTCGGGCGAATGGTCCATTCACTGAATTTTTTTAAGTGTAGAATCCCAGAGCTTTGTTTCTTTCTCTAAGTTTCTAAAGAAATCTCATAGCTCTACCTCTAAGTTCATTTCATCGGATCTTAACTTGTAAGCCTACTCCTCTTAATGATGACAACCACAACCCTAAACTAATAAAGAAGAATAAAGGAATTTCAGCCAAGCATTATTTTATTTGCACACTAGAATTATTCCTAAAGCTTTAGGATTGTTATAATTGCTGCCATTATGACCATTATGATGATGATGAATGACGTACCTTTTGCACGTTATATAAGAGTTTAGTATCATGTCATGTTACACAAAACAGTTTAGAAAACTACAGTCATTGCTTGATAACATGTTCAAGAGAGGTGCTGTCACCATTTCAATGTTCTCAAATTCTACATTGTTGGTTGGGTTGTGCCGTCCAAGGAGGCGGCTCCGGCGCCGGAGAGGTAGCAGCATTCGGCTAGGGAACAAGCGACGTGGGTTCTGCCTTGGATCACGTCCAATGGTACAATGGGGTGTCATGGCTCCTCTTAGGATGCTAAAGAAGATCATCATGGAAATTACACCAAAGGGGCATTGGATAGAGGCTTATTGTTGGTCTCTACCACTTCTACGCCCCCAACTATTTCCCCTTTGTTGATTATAAATATAAATATTCTCCTTCATAATGTGAAGCCACAAAATAAACCCATAAGAATCACTTCATATTAAGTCTTGATAAGGAAAGGAGAAATCTTGTCATCAGAACTGCCCCCAAAAGTGCTGATCTTGGAGAAAGAATCCTATATACATTTTCTTTTGTAAACCTTCATGTAAAATGTCAAAAAGACTAAATCACTCGTTTACTATAGTGTAATTAACTTTTTTTAGTTTTGTTTTAACTACTTGCATGTTGATTGTTGACAAAGCACTTAAAATTCTTTGTACTAAAGTCCTCGGCTTAAATGTTGGGTCGATGCACGTTTAGATTGTCTTTATCAACAATAAAGTAATTTCAAGACAGCGACTGTTAAGGTTCAAAACTTAAACATCGAAAGTAAAATAGTTTTCCTAAATACACGAGGGTTATGCCCTTGAGACCATTAGTTTTCCGAATGATCCATAAATAACTTTTTCGTACCCCAAAAAGAAAATAAAAAAATAATTATTTTAACATGTATAAATTAAACAAAGTAAAAAAAGACGTCAAATACAAAGTTGTCTTTAGTCATGAATAATTGTAAAATTTGATTAATGACTTATTGAATTAAATGTCATGTCATTTGGCAAGGAAACCCTAGCAAAAACAAAGCTCAAGAAACCTTAGCAGAGCAATTGTAGTCATCAACCATACGTGGAGGTCTTTTTTATCTGCTTTGATTTGTAATGTTATACTATGTAGCATTGCCTAAGTATGGTTTGAGTATATATAAGTAGGATCAGGATCCCCTCATTTTTTGACAAGAACATAACTTTCATACATTTGTATTTTACATTTTTACTCAAGTAAAAAATTATTCACTTAAATGAAAATACAAAAATACAGAACATGATAGTCATGTAACATAGGAGATCTTCATCCCTGTAAGTGCCACTAGCTTGTGGTTATTTCTAAAACCATGATCATTGGAAAAGAACAAAAACTATCATGTCAGTTGCGATAGTTTTCAGTACAAAATTTTGAGTTTCCAACATTATTGGCAGGGTCCGCGCTCTCTCACCGGGGAAAGTGTCAAGAGGAGATTTTGGATCTTCTCCGGTGGTTACGATACATCAATAACATAATTGATAATAAAAAATCAAAATGAGCAAACTAGTATGTTGTTAGTCCATTCATTATAAAAATCAATGGCCAAGATTTTATTTGAGAGACTATAAGAAAATTCTGCCGAAATGATCCAAATTCGATGGAGTAGGCAAGCCTGAATACCTCTAACTAAAATCCAAAAAAATATAAAGAATTAAATAGAAAATAAATACCAAAAACATTATTGGATTAATTATCAAATCTACAGTTAATAATTAATACAATTTAAACCAATCCAGAACTTTGCAACTTTAGAAAAAAAAATATTTTTACTAAAATCTTAGGGTAAAAAATTTAATTTGAATAATTGAAAAACTAGAAAACATTGTAACAGGCAAAAGCTGAGACCACATTTTGTAATCAGCATCACCATTAAAATAAAAATATAAAAGCATTACTGTATAAAGCTCCTATTGAACATGAGCCATATGCCACATATACCTTCCTACAAGGCTAGAGGCTGCAAGTGTACAACTAAAACTTGACTTATATGGAAATTCAAAAGCTAAAATAAAATGCCTCTGTAATTTACAATACAAAAAAACATGCCAACCTTCATGTTCATGCAAACTAAAACTGATTAGTGGTTACCTTTTTCCAAAGTAGGAAAACAAGGTTGGCTGTTTATCATCGGCAGTCTTCACTTTTTCTTTCTTCTTTGCAGGGTTTGCACTCATCTGATCATTATTTGCCACAAGCGGCTTTGAATCAGATGAAAAAGCCTCGTACTCACGCTTGATTGGGAACTTAATAGCATTTTGAGAGTAGGAAGAACCACCACTGGATTTTAGGTCATTGTCTCCCTCTTCAAGTTTAGCACCTTCACTCTCGTCTTTTGCATGCTCGGTCTTGACAAATTCTTGAAATGATGTTTTCTTCTCTGGCTTTGTGTCTTCACTTTCAGCTCCCTTTCTCGAAAAAAACAGAGAGATTGAAGTGTTCCCTTCTGACTTTACTTGAATCTGCCAAACATGGGATGATGCTAACTAATGGTTTTCAATAAAGGGACAAAGTCAACTTTGTTTTAAAATCATGTAGATGTAAACACGTAGATAAATAGGCAAGAATATGACAACACTTATATCTGCCAAAGTGTCATACGGTCATACCTCCTTTATGCACTCAGGTCCATCAAATGAGGGCTTGCCCATAGCAGGTGTCACTGGGTACCACACCTGGAAATTAAAAAAAAAAAAAAAAAAAGGAAAAACCAACAATTCTTAATGAAACGATGTTAAGCCTTCACATCTTTAACTTCAGAACATGTAATAAAACATTAAGTTCCACACCAATGAACAAAACAGAAATTATAGCCTGCCCTCAATTTTCTGTAAAGCTCATACCAAATCAGATTCTTCATATGGCTTCAGCACACTCTTAAAACTGGAATCAGAACTGCTTAGCCAGGTATCAATTGAATCCTTGTCACCCAAAATAACAGGCATCCTGTCTAAAGGGATATATTCAAAGTACAGTCATAAGTTTTTTACAGATATAATATATGGGCATTTAAATGTGATGAACATTTCGGCAGGTATCCTCAAATATAATACATGGCTATTTAAAAAGACGAACACTTGGGCAGTCATCCTCAACTGGTAAAAGGCAAAAAGGGGAAGGCATAAATCAAACAGTTCCTGAGAATCTTGTGCATCTGCACCCCAAACTCATCAAAACTAAATAGTTTAGTACCATTTATTTTTTTGCACTTTCCATATGGTATGACACTTCGATAGGACACTTAGGCTCTACGTAGATTTTTTTCATTGACAAAAGCAAAGGGGCGTACCTAGTAAGGAATTCTAGTAGGACAAGAATTGCAAAAATTTACTAAGGAATGGGATAAGGAAGAGATACGCATATTTCATAACTCAGCTATATCGCAGTCAATGATCCTTGAAGATAAATGTTTCAAGTTAAACTGTCTATTGGGGTATTCATTTCATAGTCCATACTTCCAGATTTCCTAACCTCAATCTCCCCTATTTCATGTTAGTATTTTGATAAAGAAATACAGCTGTTTATCTTCTTTCTCTTGTATGTCTTAATAAATTTCTCTTTTTCTGCATTCATGAGACCAGCTCTCATGACTTCATAACGGTTTCCACTTCCCCTATTGAAGTAAACCAGGCTGGGCAGAGACTTAGAGCAGGAATTTAATACCCTGATGTTCAGTTCCCTTTCTCTTAGAATGGCCACAATTTCATTACAAGAACATTTTTTGGCTTCTTAAAATGGTTAGCTTTGGTTGTCAAGGTTGTCTGATGTATTCATTTGCAATAGTTGAGAAACTATATGCTGAATAAAAGTGAAAATTTCTTTGGATCCAAACAAAATGATATAATGAGCAAAACCAAGAACCAAAGGGGACAATACCACTAAGGACAATGAATCTGAAAGGCCCTCAGTAACACAAGAATATAAAAGAAGTTGAGTACTATAGCAGCAGTAAGAGAATGGTGAGGTTGCATGCCAAGGATCATTTGTTAGAAGGGAGGGATGCATAACCAACTGAACAAGTGGTAGCCCAGCTTTGGAGGGGATTATGAATTCAAGCAGGAGGCAAGAAGTGTGTAATAGGACCCAAAGGAAAGTAACTAGAACTGCTACAGAATTTGTTAGAGTTTAGTAAAGAGTGGTCAGTACAGAATTGGATTATGTGTGGATTATGCTCACTGAATCAATGAGAAGAATCGGATATTAGAGAATTGGAATCTTGGATAATTGCAAATCTAAATCTCTCCCAAGATTAATTCTATGAGATGGACTCCCACTATTGGAACCAGCTCAAAGCCTTTCCCTTCATAGCATCACTACCGATATTTTTCCTCTTTGATTACTACTTCATTTTATTATATGCTGTAGGATATGTTCCACTAGTCAAACCCCTCTTGTAGATTGTAAGGTTCTCCAAGAGGTCTTTGATATTCTTGAGTAGCACTACCTGCAACTGCATTCAAGATTCTTGAGTCTCCCTCTCTGCCTCTAATTCTCTTTTCCAACACTCAACCCTTTTTCCAAAGACTCCATTCAAATCTCCATTCTTCATCAAATCATGAACAGCTCCTATGGTCTGGGGAGCTCTAATGGCAGTTAATTTAATTGGACCAGAATTTATGTAAAGAATATATTCTTTATTAATAAAACAAATGAACTTCAGATCTGTATCAGGATGATACAGGGCAAGATTGAGAAGCAATAAAGAACACGATGAGACAGACTCCTATGCTAAGTATTTGAGCTCTGAAGGACAGGTATTTCATTCAGTAAGCCACATACATATCAGTTTAGTACCCAGTATGAGTATGAATTGGATACACTAGGGTACAAACCTAATATGTGCGAAATGATTCAAAAAACAAATGTGTACAAAGTGTGTTCAGGCACACCTAGGGGTAACAATGAGTTGGGAGAGCAACCCAACAAGTGATGGCAATGCATAATTTGAAAGATTAAGCACGCAAGTTTACGTTTGGTTGATTCGAGTTTGTAATTTCTTTGTCGACAGATGTTTACATAACATTCTGCATATGTTATTCCATTTTAGTTACTTCTAAAATTTATATTTTCTCATTTTCTATATAATTTTTTTCATGACTTATATTCTAATTTCTTATGCACACACATATACATATATATGATTTTATATTAACATACTCATACCTTAGATTTATTAAAATTGCCATATCTCATACCCATATCAATATGCAACATGGTATTTGAAAAACCTGGACTTTACCTCCCAATTTCCACTTCAAAAACAAAGACAGACAGATCCCTCACTACTACTTCCTTTATATTACTTATACTGCAAGTCTTCTCTCCTTCTCTGACCAGCTAAATATTTTATTTAACTTAATATAATGTAACTCATTGTTGATACTCTAATTGTAACTAACTGTAGTGTTGATGACTAGATGCAGAGCGGTCTCTAATAGCATACAAAGAGTAACATATATTTTAAGTTTCTGCCACCATGTCATTGCTATGCAAGTCTCATTCCATGTTTCAAATAGCAACTTGTTATATTCAAGACAGTTTCTAGTAGAACTACACAAACAAGTAAGCAATGAGATTTTTTTCATAATACTGTCAATCTGAATCTTTGTGGGCGTGCCAACATTTAAAAGTGCATGACTCACCATGAAGCCACCGAAGGGCTGAGGATGAAGAGGTTGTAACAATAGTGAATGTGTACAGTGTTTCACCTGCAGTTATGAATATACCATCAAGATTACAAGCATAAATAGAAAAATAACATGATCTCCCTATTGAATAGTAAATTCCCTATATCTTTCTACAGAAATTGTTACCTTCAGAATTTTGCCACGAGTCATAAAGAGCAGCAAAGACAAGTGATCGTCCATCTTTTAAGTGAATATAGTAAGGCTGTTTCCTAGAACCATCTTTTCTCCACTCATAAAAACTTCAAACATATATTTAAAAAAAATCAATTAAAGAACTGAACTTAAATTCATGAATAAGCAAAGAAGGGATGTAATCAACAAAAATGTGGAAAACATAGATAAACTATAAAAGGAACAAATCTCTTGTTGAAAGTAATATGTTAAAGCAAAATTTTGAAAATACGAATTATGACAGCAATATCAAAGAGCTTTTTTTTCTTTTTTTTATGAGTAGTGGTGTCACATCATCCATGTAGTCAACCTCACTTAAAAGGATAAGACTTTTGTTGTTAATGTGACAAAAATATGCCATCAAAATACATGAGAAAGAGGGTTGAAGATATAACAGGAAGAGGGATATATACTCAGAAAAATGGTTGTCAGGATGGGATTTTCCTCATCCTCGATGAGGAATCCATACTAACTCCCAAATATTATTATGATTTATGAGAGCATAATAGCAAGATAAACACACACTGGAAATACATTGTTGAGTGGACCCAACAAGCAGAACCAATTTAGATTCAGTTCATTTGAAGCAAATATGACAAAACATCTCTCAAATAGACTCCGGCAAATCTTCAACAGTACATGCAGGCACTTTTACAATTATAAATACAGTATAAAACATCCATGGAATGTAATTCGTAAAGAAGATATGGTTAAACAGAAAGATATTAGTAAAAAGCTACAGCAACAGAAAGCATATCTAAGCCATGATAAAACAAAAAGCTAAGAAGAGATGATTGGAAATATGATTAAACAAGTAATGCAATACATACCCTTCTACTGCTACAAGGCACCTGCTTTTAGGAAGCAGACGACGAAATGAAGCCCTCTCTTCTATAGATTCAGATCGAGCATTAAACTGCAGTACACAGCACACTCCACATCAGACTGCGTGGACCAACTCCAATGAAGATTGTGAAACAGTTAACACTTAGTAATTTTGTCACCAGTGTTAGCAAACTATAAGGAGATTTCTAGCTTCAAAGTGAAAAAAACATTAGTCAAAATTGCCAGATTCAAATACCAAGAATTATTATGATGATATATAACAAAAGTTCAAAAATAAATGGCCTATAATTTAAGGAAAGAAAACTTTTAAGGGGAAAAACTGATTCAAAAATTGGACAAGGAACCTACCTTTATTTAAATAACATGATTAATGACAATGTAAGCAATTTTAATTGTGTCATCGTTCACAATAAGAACAGAACAAATTCATAAATTCCCATCAATCATTCTTCATTGGATGGTACAAAGAAACAGTTTAGAACCATACTGCCCATAAAAGTAACAAGGATTAAGATGCACCATGAAAAAAGTCAAAAGGAACTCCCAGATGCCCTTATTGACCAGCAGACTCAAAACACTGGGATATTATAAAGCTGAATATACAATAACTAGAAAACTAACAGGCACACAGACACACCCATGATGATTCTAGCATATTTTGAACATAAGTTCTCTAGAATATAAGCAAAGAGGACAAATTAAAACCTCCAATAAGCACCCATGGAACATTTTAATTCAAATTAAGACTTAAGTTGCTAATAATTAATCAAAATGGTTCACATCATTCATCTGAAGTTACAATTAATATAACAATTAACAAGGACAGAAGGACTAGAATCAAGATATCTAAATATTACAGGAAGAATCTGTCATCAACAGAGGCAGATCTTAAGAGCGGTAGAGGAAGGTAGCATCTCTCTCCCAATTACCTTAATTTGTGTCAAAATTTCTCTATAGAAAAGACTATATTTAAATTTTAATTGTCTTACGCATCTTTTTATGGAATCAAGTCAGCCAATATATACCACAAAAGAAACATAATATAATTACTTGATCTAAATTAAATTACTTCATTCAAAGGAATTGACAAGAGAAGAAATAGTACTTAAAAATATATATAGGTAATATTGTTATGTTTACTCTTGCTATGCTAATAACCCCTTATAATTTATAAATCAAATGAAACCAAATTTAGAATTGAATATGAGCTCCTCTAACTATTGAACCTTAGTTAGTTGATTAATGAAAGAAGCTAACTAGTTAACCTCTTATGAATATATTTATTTTTACTTTACATATAGTACCATTGATTACTTATTCAATTCAAATAATATTGAACTTACTCTAATGGTTCAACCACTCAAAATTTTAGTCAAGTTCTGCCACTGGTCGTCAAGCTCCCCACCCCTACCCAATGAAGAAGGAGAAAAAGAAAAGAAACTTGGAATCAGTAAACTATACCATCTTGTAGTGATCAGGTTTCTCTGTTTTCTTTGTAAAACTGGGGATCAAACCCCATTTCATGCAATGAAGAACATAGCCTTCACTGTCAGATGCATCTTCTCTACGAATTACTGGCAAGTTGGATCCCGGCGACACATTATACGATGGATTATACCTAAGCACACAATCAAATTGGATTATGAAACAAAAATTTCCTACTAAACAATTTCTTTACAAAATTGAAGAGTATATACTCATACTCGCCCCTGATAAATTTAACGCAAGACACATTAGTACCAAATATAAAATGGTCATATTAATTCCTAAGAATCACAAATACAAATCATATTAGTCCTTTTCAGTGGACCACATTAATCCCTGAAAAGGACCAACAAGACGTGATTTTTAGTGACTAACATTGAATTTTTAGGAACTGATGTGTCCACCTGTAAATTTTTCAAAGTTCAAATTGGGTCTATACTCAAAAACAAAACAAAAAATAGTTCCATTAGAACTGACAAGCTGAAAGAAAATAAAGCAATTTCTTGTTGCATTAATTCAATGCGCATCATCTTTTCTTGCAGGGCAACAACATCCATTTTAGACCAGCTAGAAGAAGCCCCAACAATACCACTTAAAAAATAAATAAACATAAAATGCTCCATTTTTTCTTCCATATTGCCATTCGTTCCTGGAACAACCATTTCAGAATCCCCAAATAACAAAATGAAGTAACTAACAAAAGAAAGAAAGAAAAACACGTTCCATTTTTCTTGCACATTGTCAACAGTTCCTAAAACAGCCACGCCATTTTCAACAAATAAATAAATAAAAAAGTTTGACCAACATTAAATAGATATTGTAGGAAAATGGAAAAGGAAAGATGTTTTAGTTTTACCGGTCCATATGAAGAGTGCGCGTTGGGGCAACACTGCGATGACAAGCCCTTGAGACATCATCAGCTCTCAGAGTACAACGTGCTCTTCCACACATCTCTCTCTCTCTCTCTCTCACTGGTTCGGTTTCCCTTATTCAAAGGCGGGAATGGAAAAGCTTCTCATGACAACTGCAAGAGGGAAGAGTGGTTTTGTAGAATATAGATTCGGTGCTGTCCACTTTGGTGCAGTCTCCGTGCAGTTAGGAAAATCTACACCGTCCAGTCCATCCAACCTGGGGTTTGCAACCACAACGTGGCTCAACTTCAAATTTATACACACTGCTAGAAAATTTTTACTCACACAACACAAGCAAGAAGAAATCCTATTACGCACCCTTTTTTAATATATATATATATATATATATAAAAGTAAAATTGATTAAAAACTATAATAAATATAAATTTTATCTTTAATTTAACAAGTTTTACTTATATTATATAATTTTAATAAAAAAAATTAAAGAAATTACTAAAACTCTCAGCATGCATACCATAGAGACGCTTTTACCAAGTTGGAAAACAATTAAATTAAATTACCCGCCCCAAAAGCTAAATATTTAAATAATTAAATTAATATTTTAATTTTAAAATGTTTAAAGTAGGGAAGACAATAGGTGGGTACTATAATATCCATCATCTTCATACTCGCATTTTAAAAAAATACTCATATTCACCTCTATATTCATGTGGGTATGAACATTAATCTCTGTATCCGTACCTTTTGGGTGTATACCCATCTTGTATCCATTACCTGCGCTTATTTAAAAAAAATATTTATAAAGAAAAATATGTTTATATAACTTCACATAAATAGTATAATAAACAAAAATTTAATAAATATAATTGTAGAACAAAGTTCAAGAATATATATATATATATATATATGGTATGGGGCGGAATGGGTACTTAGATACTCATACCTGCACCTATCCCTATTAAAATTTGTGGATGTTTACTCATACTCATACATGTACCTATGTAGTGGGTAATACTCTATCTATTATAAATAAATTTTATGAGTACTTATCGAGTACTTTACGCATTGTCATAGTTTAAAGTTTAAATTAGATTTTTTCTATATATTATTCTTTTTTATAGTATGATAATCATAAAATAATGATGAAATTTATTAATATTTAAATTAAAACATGAATTAATGACTTATTTTAATAATATTTTTTACTTTAAATTAATTTACTAAATTATTTTTTATTTTAAATAAGTATCATTTTTTGGTAATATTTATTTATAAATATTTTTATTTTTAATTATTTAACTATTATTATGAAATATTTTATTTGATTATGAATGTAGACGGAGAATGAAACTAGCAGAATTGTGTGCATAATTACATACCCTGAAATACACCATAAATTAAAAAAAATGTAATAATATTTTCTTATAGATAAAAAAATAATATTTTAATATATTGTTTCATATTTTTATCAAAAAGAATTTTATCATTGTTTTATGTAAATAGTAATAGTCATTGAAAATAATAATATTTTTTTTAGTATATATAAATATTTTATTAATAATTTGAATTTTATTCAACTATTTTATTATAATATTTTACAATTACTTAACTTAATTTTATAACTTCATAATATGTTCTAATCCCAATTCTTGTAATTTTATAACATTATCTTTGCTTGAATTTAAAATATTTTTTAATTATTATTTACAATTTGTATAACATTATTTTAATAATAAAAATTGTTTGTACATTTATATCTATTTATCTACTTAACTATCTATCTATAATATAAATTTGTATTATAAGTTTTAGATAAAAACTTTAATTATTATTACAATAATAAATCAAAAATTATTTTCATATTTTCTAGTAAATCATTATATAGCACGTACAAAGGAAAAGAAATTATCAAAAAGTAAATATAAGATAAGGCTGAAAATATTATTTTGTACTATTAAAAAATACTTTTACATATCCCTTCATCATGATCAATAGACCCTATAAAAATAAATCAAATGCATAAAGAAAGAAAGCTAAAGAGGAAGAGATTAACTCAATATTGTTTTTAAAACTAAAATTAGACACACTAGAGAAACTTGTCTTTTATAGGTAAATATTTACATATAACAATAAAATATAAGAATTTAATTATGAAGTATTCTTATTCAATTATAGTTTATTTTCCTCTCCTAGTAGCACAACTCATTTTCCATTTTATTATTTTGGTAAAACTTAGTAGTGCAATATACTTATTTAATTACTTTTGATATTGTCTCTCTTAAATCAAGTGTATAATTTCATCATTATGAGCATTTTCTTTAGTTTATAAAATAACTTAACTTTTAATGACTTAGTAAAAATATCTGTAACTTTTTCTTCCAAAGGGTAGTATTTGATCTTTACTTCAACCAATTATTAAATCTTGTGAAATTAAATATCAATATGCTTGGATCATCCATAAAAAAATTAAATTTTTGTAAAGTGCAATTGAAAACTTGTGGAAATATCTTGTTTCTTATGCATCACTTCAAATATTCTTTTCATCTATGGTGCTTGTGTAACACTTCAAATTCCCACCCTTATGCTTAGAAAAGTTTAGATTTTAATTTTTTGATTTGCCTTACTCTTTTCTTTTTTGTGTTTGTAGTTGATTTTGTTCATTGATTTAAATTAATACTTTGTGAAGGTAAAAAACTTCTCAAACTCATTTTTAACATGACATTCTTTTTTTCAAATTATATGTCCAAAAACTAACAAAGGATTATTAAGAATAAAAACTTTGTCCACATGGTAGACCTTATATTTTCCTCTCTAAAACACTTAAAAGTCCTCTTTTATCCTAAAACCACCTTATATCATTTTTTTTTTTGTTTCTTTTTCCTATATCTTTTTTGTTCTAATTCTTAATATTACCTAAAGTATAATAAATAGCATGACTAAATTTTGCTCAAAAGGAGCTACACATGATTTTTGTCATGTCTCATTTACGGCACAACATGACCAATTATTTACAAGGCCAAGTACACTAAGGGCAAAACCAAATTTACTCACTCCACATTATTCCAGTTTTGTAAATGAAAGTTTAGACTAATCATTTAGCAAAAAGAACATTTCCTTCCTTTTATTCTATGTACCACACGGTTGGCTTCAAAGTGGCTTGGGAAGGAGGGTACACCAGAATTTGGCCTTAGAGGAAGGGAGAGCTTGCAGGTCTCGTCACTTCCCTTCTCCTTCACTCACATTTCATGCATTCAGCTTCCCAAAACCACTCCATTTCCAAGTCATTTGGTCACTTTCACGTCAACTAGAAAATAAAAAAGAGAGTTCTATCAAAAAGTACTTCTCGATTCCCTCTCATCTAGCACCTAAACCACATTCCAATCTCTCATTTCTCTCTTCTCTAACTATGTCACTACCTCTCTTTACCTCCATCACAGATTATAGCCCTTTGTCTGTTGGAAGAAGTTTGGATAATACTCCTAAGGTGACCTTTCTCACCTTCTGCAACAAGAGCAAATACCTTAAAATAATCAATGTATGGCTTCTACTTATACCTTTTTGTCACCAACCTTGCTTCAAAATGATCAATCTCAACATTGTGTTTGTACTTTGTTTTGTACACCTACATCCTTCCAATTAGCTTCTAATCTAGCAGTAAATTTGTTAGCTCATATATTTCATTCTTCTTAATTGTATAAATCTCAACATCTATGTCTTTTCTCCAATTTTGATCATTTGTTGCTTCTTTAAAAATCATTGGCTCACAATTGGTTGGTTGGTAGTCTTTGTTGCCTATGTGATCTACTAGATGTTTTTGGCTCATGAGGAGCTAGATTTATTTGTCCATTCTTCTTTATATAGTTGTCAAGAATCACCATCAATTGGTTTTAGGCTTTTAAAGATCAATCCCATATTCTTTCCTCATCAAATGTTACGTTACAACTAATAATCATCTTCTTTGCCTCCAGATTGTAGAGTTTGTGTGCCTTTGAGTTTGTACATTAGCCAATAAATACACATTTCTCTCATTTATCATCAAGTTTCTTCCTTAGTTAGTTTGATACATCGGCATAAGTTATACACTCAAAAACTTTGAGATGTTGAATTGATGGTCTCCTTCCACTCCAAGTTTCTTCAAACCATCATATCACGAACACTTTTAGTTGGACACCTATGCAAGATATACATAACATTAGCAATAGCTTCTGCCCAAAATTCTTTTGGAATCTGCTTAGCTATCAATATGCATTTCACCATATCCATGATTTTCATATTCTTCCTTTCAACAATTTCATTCTATTGGAGAGTATATCTAGTTGTCAGTTGATAATGGATTCCATGTTGCTCAAAGAAATATGGACAACTAAGATACTCTTAATCTTTGTCTATTTTCAAAGCTTTAATTTGACAAGCACTTTATTTATTCACAATTGCCTTAAATGACTTAAAGACATCACAAACTTTTGATTTTCACTTCAAGAAATACACTCATGTTTTTCTACTAAAATCATTAATAAAAGTAATAAAGTACCTACTATCACTATATGTTGAAATCTCAACTATACACAAATCGAAGTGTATCTATTATCATTAACATTTTAACTTCTTACTATGTTTGCTTGTTAATTAAATCTACAATTTACAACTTTGTGCACAAACTTTCACAATAAAATCAACTAAAATATGTGAGACCTTGATAATTGTTATCTCAACCTCTTTCTCAAGTTGGCGAATCAAATTTTCCTCCCCTTCTTCTTTAGTTGAATATTCTGAAATTATTATTAAATTTTCCATATATTCCTTCTCTAAAATTACCTCTAACTCTACCTCCATAATTTCCTCTTCCTTTGATATTTGAATTATCGTGACTTTTATTTTTTGCACTTTAATTGGTTCAGTTACATTGTTGATTCACTTCACTGTTTAAGGCTTCTTCACTTACTAAACTGCGCTTGTCCCTTCCGATCAGCGTGCAATATCTCTCCTTGAAACCAAAAATCCAACTACACGCTGCTTTATGGTAACAATTTTCTTTCCTTCTATTGATATTGGAACCCAAAACCCAATTATACAAATGTTTTGCTCCAATTTTCTTTTCTTCCATTGATGTTGTTATATAATCTCATTGTGTTTTTAAATTTCATCCTTATCAATTGGCCATTTCGACTTCATGCATGCTGAATTTTGCATTTTCACGAAGTATCAAATAAAACTTTGCTCAACCTTCCATATTTCATTTAAAAAATAAAAAACACAAGTTGATTTAT